TTTTGCGGAGATAGGGTTAAAATATATACAGGGTGTTTCAGAATACAGGATACCCTACTTGTAAAAAGTGTTTAGGTCTAAACAGGATTTCGTTTGGAAAAAAATAAAAAATTCCATTAAACCACCATTATTCTTAATTTCACAGAAAAGCTTTTAATAGAATTAAATTCCTCTGGTTCTAGATACAAATTTAGTAAACAAATAAAAATGTAGAAAAAAAGCGGGAATGTTAATTTTTCATTTATTTGAAATCCCAATTATGAATTATTGTAGAAAAATGTACTAAATATAAAATCCAACAAGCCAGTGAAAAGAAAGACAAATTAAATTTTCCAGGAAAATTACAAAATGTCGAACCCTTGAATTTCAAAATGTCACAATAAATTATAAATCAGCATTGACTAGTCAAGAATCCAATACAAAGATAAAGTGTGTGTGTGTGATGGGGGGGGGGGGTATGAGAGTTCACAAGTTTAGAATTTAATCAACATTTTAAAGATTGAGTTTTATGGATTCTTAAGACAAAAATAAAATGTTCAATATTTTAATCCAGTTTTTATTTCATTTTAATAGAACACAATATACGAGATTTTACGCCCGTTTTAGTACTTCACAGAACGCCAAATATAAACTAAAACATCAATAAACTTTTCCTCAAACTTAAAGGGACTGATGCCGGATTTTTAAGTGACGGCCTCAATTTAAAGTGTGATTGCCGATTCATAACGGTTTCCTTTAAACCTTTGAACGAATAAGATATCCTTTTTTTTCTGAAATCTGATTATTTGTTAACTTGGAAATTTCAACTATTTATCTGTGAGCAAGTTCTCCTTGTAGTACAGTATAAAAAAAAGTTTGCGGATATCATAGTATTTTTCAAAATTTCACAAAAATAAAAAAACGTTTAAGGACAAATTTTTGAAATTTTGATCCTTTATAAATCTTTCCTGGGGTCTCACGAGGTCCCACACAAAATTTTGGCCCGATTGGTTCGGCCGTTTTGGCTTTTATTGGATTCAAAACAGACACACAGACAGACAAGCAAAGTATATGTATAGAAGATGCTTCAGAGGCAATACATGAAATTGTCAGAATTATACGCTTTAAAGATCTGTCTCCTTGTTACTTGGATTAAAGTTTAACGGGTACTGACGTTGTAAATCTGACATGCCACCTGTTATAAATGCCAGGTTACTTTAAATTAATTCAATAGTTCCTTTTATTCTGTCTTTTTCCTGTTTACAAAACTACCCCAACCCTGTTTACAAAACTACCCCAACCCTGTTTATAAAACTACCCCAATCCTGTTTATAAAACTACCCCGACCCTGTTTATAAAACTACCCCAATCCTGTTTATAAAACTATCCCAAACAATGTTTATAAAACTACCCCAACCATGTTTATAAAACTACCCCAACCCTGATTATAAAACTACCCCAACCCTGTTAATAAAACTACCCCAACCCTGTTTATAAAACTACCCCCTACTCCAACCCTGTGTATACAACTACCCCAATCCTGTTTATAAAACTACCCCAATCCTGTTTATAAAACTACCCCAACCCTGTGTATACAACTATCCCAAACCTGTTTATAAAACTATCCCAACCAATGTTTATAAAACTACTCCAACCCTGTTTATAAAACTACCCCAACCCTGTTTATAAAACTACCCCAAACCTGCCAATCCTGTTTATAAAACTACCCCAACCATGTTTATAAAACTACCCCAACCAAAGGATTGGAAAAAGTAATTTAAATTATCGATTGTAAATTTAAGATTTTCTGTTCAATTCCAATTCCAACAATTGTTTTACTAAATGATTCAAGAGCTTTTTTTTCTAAGAAATAAATGACTTCCATACAAATGAACGTAAAAATCAAAGAGTCTGAGAAACCTTTTGTTTTGTTACAGTGTACACTTTTTTCTACCTTTTATTTTAAAATGTGATTTTTTTTTAAAAGTTCACAAAAGCAAAAAAAAGAACAACAAAAAATAATAATATTTATTTACTCGTTATTACATTAGTTTTTCCAATATTTTTTTTTATATAACTTGTCAAGGAAGCATATAATTAAAAACCAATTAAACCGCTATAATTATATTTTTTAAGGGTCGGTTTAAGAATGATCGCGGTCCTGTTCGGAACATGGTATCTCTCCTTAAATTTAGGAAACTGATAATAAATTTAAATATTTCTAAATATCCAGGGTGAGTCAAAAAAAAGTGTGATTAGCGGCGTCTGGAACCTTTTTTTGCAACTCTCCTGTATGGTGTATTTTCAATATTTGTTGGAAAAAAATCCGCAAAATGGCGCAAAACTATTTTTTCTCAAAATCAGAAATTCAGGAAAGCAAAATTGTGTATATATTATTTCTTTCAAATTCTAAAATATATTAATATTGGTTAAACAAAAATTTCCTTAAAAATTAGACCAGAAACAAAAATTACGAATCTTTTTATTACTTTTTGCGAATTTTCTGTGATTCAGTCATTCAATATTTATAAAATTTCAGAATTTGATAGAAATAATATATATACACATTTTGCATTTGAAAAAATTGAAAAAAACCCCGTCAGGAGAGTTATTACAAAAAAGGTACAATTTTGCTCCAGACGCCGATAATCACACTTTTTTTTGACTCATTCTGTATTTTTCTTACTTTGCAGCTGGTATCATCTAATTATTAATAGAATTTTGTCAAAATTTAGTTTAAAAAAATATGTTAAAAAAGATTTTTTTCTTTTAATATCTGAAATCTAATATTGAATTAATAAATGTAGGGTTAAAAAAACTGATACTCACAAATAGCTTTAAACAAAATTCAAATTCTTTAAAATCAAAAAATTTGTACTTCTGAAATTATTAAAAATATTATTTATAACTGAAGGAGAAAGAGTGGAGAGAAGTTAAAGGCAAAAGAAGCAGAAAAACCAGAAATTTACAAATTAAGGTAATGATAAACTCACACGTTATTAATTACTTTAACTACTTCTAAAAACTATTAAACGTTAAATACTAATTATTTGGGGCGAGAAATCAATTCCTTTGGCTCCTGTTCCTTATGTCTAAATATATTAATTGAAATTTAACAAATTTAACAAAATCTATAGATCTCGTAAAAAATGCAAAATAGAAAATGTGTCTCATTATTCTGGGAAACGATGGAAATAAGATGACGATGAAATAAACCACTAAAAGAGACTCTAGGTGTTATTTTAAGTGACACTTTATTCGTAGAGTTACATGTTCGAATCACAACAGCACCCTTTAACCTATATATAATCAAGATTGTTTGTCATCTTTAATTACTAAAAGAGTATGAAAGCTTTCTTTCCATCTACTTTTACACCAGGAGTAGGGCAATTTTACAAAGATAAAGGACGGATACAGAGCCAGAGGACGGATAAAGAGCTAGAGGACGGATACAGAGTTAGAGGACGGATACAGAGCTAAAGGACGGATACAAAGCAAGAGGACTGATACAGAGCTAAAGGACGAATGCAGAGCTAGAGGACTGATACAGAGCTAAGAACGTAAACAGAGCCAGAGGGCGGATACAGGACTAGAGGACGGATACAAAGTTAGAGAACAGATACAGAGCTAAAGGACAGATACAAAGCAAGATGACAGATACAGAGCTAGAGGACGCATAAAGGACTAGAGGACTGATACAGAGCTAAAGGACGAATGCAGAGCTAGAGGACTGATACAGAGCTATTGGACGGATACAGAGCTAAAGTACGGATACGGAGCTAGAGGACGGATACAGAGATAGAGGACAGATACAGAGATAGAGGACTGATACAGAGCTAGAGGACGTATACAGGAATAGAGAACAGATACAGAGATAGAGGAAGGATATAAAGCTACGGGACGAATACAGGACTAGAGGACGGATAAAGAGCTAGAGGATCGATACAGAGCAAGAGTACGCATAAAGGACTAGAGGACGGATATAGAGCTAGAGGACGCATATAGAGCTTGAGGACAGATACAGAGCTAGAGGACGGATACAGAGCTAGAGGACGGATACAGAGCTAGAGGTCGGATTAGAGCTAGAGGACGAATACAGAGCAAGGGGACGAATACAGAGCTTGAGGACGGATACAGAGCTAGAGTACGGATACAGAGCTAGAGGATGGAAACATAGCTAGAGGACGGATACAGAGCTAGAGGACGGATACAGAGATAGAGGAAGGATACAGAGCTAGAGGACGGATTAGAGCTTGAGGACAGCTACAGAGCTAGAGGACGGATACAAAGCTAGAGGACGGATACAGAGCTAGAGGACGGATTAGAGCTTGAGGACAGATACAGAGCTAGAGGACGGATACAGAGCTAGAGGACGGATTAGAGCTAGAGGACTTATATAAAGCTAGAGGTTGGATATATAACTTGATGACGGATACAGAGCTAGACGACGATTACAGAGCTAGAGGACGGATACAGAGCTATAGGACGGATTAGAGCTAGAGGACGAATACAGAGCAAGGGGACGGATACAGAGCTTGAGTACGGATACAGAGCTAGAGGACGGATACAGAGCTAGAGGATGGAAACATAGCTAGAGGACGGATAAAGAGCTAGAGGACGGATACAGAGATAGAGGACGGATACAGAGCTAGAGGACGGATATAGAGTTAGAGGACGGATACAGAGCTAGAGGACGGATTAGAGCTTGAGGACAGATACAGAGCTAGAGGAAGGATACAGAACTAGAGGACGGATTAGAGCTAGAGGACTTATATAAAGCTAGAGGTTGGATATATAACTTGATGACGGATACAGAGCTAGACGACGATTACAGAGCTAGAGGACGGATACAGAGCTATAGGAAGGATTAGAGCTAGAGGACGAATACAGAGCAAGGGGACGGATAAAGAGCTTGAGTACGGATACAGAGCTTGAGGACGGATACAGAGCTAGAGGACGGATACAGAGCTAGAGGATGGAAACATAGCTAGAGGACGGATAAAGAACTAGAGGACGGATACAGAGATAGAGGACGGATACAGAGATAGAGGACGGATATAGAGCTAGAGGTCGGATACAGAGCTAGAAGACGGATACAGAGCTTGAGGACGCATATAGAGCTAGAGGATGGATACAGAGCTAGAGGACGGATAGCGGGCTAGATGATACCCAGAGTTGAGAACGAAGTTACATTTCAAGGAATTTGAGGTTGAAAAATTGTAAACATTTATAGAATAAAGACAGGGAATATATACAGTTATATGTAAACTGTGATCATATTCTCTTCTCTACCGTTTATAATATCACTCAAAAATACTCCTGCTGTTTAAATGTATATGAATCAAGATTATTTAAAGTTTTAAACACAATTTCCTTAAAAAATAAACAATTCACAATGATACACCTTTATTCTAACAATCTCATCCATTGTTTCTATAGCAGAAATCCGCAAGTTGATTTTTTAAAGAAACTATTAAAAAATAAAATAAAAAAAGTTAAAACATGCACATCACATACATTTGAAATGTACCCATCTATAAAGTGAGAATTCCGTTTAACTGTTAGCATGAGAATATAAAAAGAGAAGGAAGGATATGTTTCAGTGTTATTCTAATTTCAAGAATTTTAACAAAACGTCAAAAATAACAATTTTCCCATTAGAATCATTTTTTTCAGTTCCGGAGAGGTTACTGTTGTTTCGACCTCAGATCTGCGCAGAAACTCAAATACCTGCAGTGCGCAGGTTCACCACAGTAAGCAATCAATTAATTCAGTGAAAAATGAGCACAGCGGACTTAACCAAAATGTTTTTCGAAAAGTCCCCTGGCTGGCAGACTTTGAGAAAAATGTGACAATCACAAGAATCTCAAGAAACTCAGTTACCCAGTACAGTAGTGATATAATAACTAGTCATTGTGATTATCAATCAATCAATCAATCGAGTGATTCGTCCAGTAATCTTCTTTTCAACTCGTCTTTCAACCAGCCATCGTCACAATCAATCACGCAATCGATCAAGCGACGCATAACTCAATCGATCAATCAGTATCAAGAAACTGTCCAATCTAAAAATCATCAAGGAAATTTTCATTTTTATCAAAAACTAGCTCAATCAAAGTTTGAGGGATTCATGTTGTATTAAACATACATATTTACAAACAAAATTTACTACTTTATGTGGATATATAAATATCAATATCCTATCCGAAAGAGTTCAAGAACTGAGAAACTAAAAAAAGGGGTTGCCTGGCCGGGCCTAAGTAACAACTGTTTCCCGTAGAACTAACTCAAGTGCTGTATTTACAGGGATCCAAAGGTTGCAAGCTTTCCCCTGAAAAATTGTAAGAATTTTGCCAATAACTTCTTTTAAACTATAGTTAAAGCCAAGTGCTTTAAAGTTCTAAATTGTACATGCATAAAGCTTTGAAAAAGTATAGTTAGTTAATGATGTAAAATTAAAGGTCAAGGTGTTGCGCACTTTAAAGTTGACCCATTCCTAAAAATCGAACCAAAAATTCTTAGTTGTTTGGGTCTATGTGTAATAATATTACGTTATAGTAGATTGTAAACATTAACTTAGCTAATCATTAAAAATCCTAGAAGACATCAGTTAAACCTAGAAATACCTGAATTTAAAAGTTTTTATCTCTATGGCTGAGTATTGGATATTTCTAGTCAGTATAGAAACCCAGTGTCCGAATTTAATGAATTTAAGCCGCATTTCAAATCCCCCAAAAACCAAATTCAATTGAGCGCTGGCTTATATATTGAAAAATTAATACAAATTTAAGTGGAACCGCCAAAATTTGAGCCGCGGCTTAAAATTAAACCACGGCTCAAATTCTTTAAATTCGGCCTCAGGATCCAAAATCCACATGAAACATATGGAAAGTAACATTAAAATCTTTGCATTATAATCTCTATATTACAAATGTCCACTTTACAAAATCTGTATTCCTTAATTAGAAGATTAGATATGTAGAGGGGNGGGGGGGGGGGGGGTAGTTTAAATTTAAATATACATACACAATGCTTTATAACGAGCTTTTTTATAATTATACAATGTCAATAATTACTATTAAAAATGAAAAAAATAGATTCAGCTAAAGAGGAGGAAGGAGGGGAAACCACAGGAAAAAGAAGAAAATCATCCCTTTTTCTCAGACTCAAAAACTTCCGCAGTCTCCAGTCTTTAAACATTCCAAAACTGTTTAATCTCAGAAAGTTATTACGAAAGGAGAATAGTGAACCCATTCTTAAAATGTCTGAAAGAAATAAAACCTCTCAAATGAGTATTGTTAAATATCTTGAACTCGGAAAGGGTCGGTTTTCTCAGCAAGCATTCAAGCGGAGACCTGAGGATATTAAAGCTATTTTACAACCACAGTTTGTAAGTATTTATTGGCCTTATTTCACCAGATCCCTTGTCCCTTAAAAAGGCTGTCCAAAAAATTTAATTCTTCTCATGTTACCTGTAAAATAATTTACAATTTCAAAATCCTCAAGCAAAATCGACGCATTATTGTAATTCGTAAGTCTTTATATTTTTTGGACACACGACATGATTTATACGTTTTACGTAGCTTCGACATTTTGGTCCTTGTCAAGTGTTTCCTGTTTAATACCAAAACCTTGTTTTCTAGTCTCTACGCGACCTCTTCTATCTCCTGCACAGCGTGAGTGCGGTTCCTCGATCTATTTGGGGCGCTGCGCTGCAAACCACGGTTGGACCACGCCGGTATTTTGGAACTGTTTTCCGACGGACAATTCTAGGCACCAGAGATCTACATCATACAGGTTCGAATTTTAACTATTCAACCTTATGTTCATTCANTGAACCCCTTGCATCTAAAACTATAAAAAGTAAAGTTCAGATTGTTAATGCTGGAAAATAAGTTGGCCGTGTCGGTGTCTCTATAACTAAAATATAAAATTAATGATCTTCTACTTTGTCTTTGTTTGTCGTGTGTTCGTAATTCGTTTGTGCTATGTTTGTCCAAAATTTGTTTGTTCTATGTTTTTTCTACGTTTTTCCTATTTTTGCCCTGTTCTTGTTCTGTGTTGTCCTCTGTTTGGCAAAAATAGGATAGAACTAGGACGGAACCAGGATAGAACTAGGATAGAACTAGGATAGAACTAGGATAGAACTAGAATAGAACTAGGATAGAACTAGGATATAACTAGGATAGAACTAGGATATAACTAGGATGGAACTAGGATAAAACTAGAATAGAACTAGGATGGAACCAGGATAGAATTCGGACAGAGCTAGGATAGAACTAGGATAGAACTAGAATAGAACTAAGATAGAACTAGGATAGAACTAGGATACAACTAGGATAGAACTAGGATAGAACTAGGATAGAACTAGGATAGAACTAGGATAGAACTAGGATAGAACTAGGATAGAACTAGGATAGAACTAGGATAGAACTAGGATAGAACTAGGATAGAACTAGGATAGAACTAGGATAGAACTAGGATAGAACTAGGATAGAACTAAGATAAAACTAGGATATAACTAGGATAGAACTAGGATAGAACCAGGGTAGAACTAGGACAGAACTATGATAAAACTAAGATAGAATTAGGATAGAGCTAGGATAAAACTAGGTTAGAACTAGGATTGAACTAGGATAAAACTAGGATAAAACTAGGATAGAACAAAGTTAGAGCTAGGATATAAGTAGGATAGAAACAGGATAGAACAAGGATATAACAAGGATAGAACAAGGATAAGATTAAAATAGGATAGAACTTGGATAACACTAGGCTAGAACTAGGATAAAACTAGAATAGAACTAGAATAGAACTAGGATAGAACTAGTTTAGAACTAGGATAGAACTAGTTCAGAACTAGGCTAGAACTAGGATAAAACTAGAATAGAACTAGAATAGAACTAGGATAGAACTAGGATAGAAATAGGATATAACTAGGATAGAACTAGGAAAGAACCAGGGTAGAACTAGGATAGAACTATGATAAAACTAAGATAGAATTAGGATAGAGGTAGGATAGAACTAGGTTAGAACTAGGATAGAACTAGGATACAACTAGGAGGGAACAAAGTAAGAGCTAGGATATAAGTAGGATAGAAACAGGATAGAACAAGGATATAACAAGGATAGAACAAGGATAAGATTGAAATAGGATAGAACTTGGATAACACTAGGCAAGAAATAGGATAAAACTAGAATAGAACTAGAATAGAACTAGGATAGAACTAGTTTAGAACTAGGATAGAACTAAGAAAGAACTAGGATAGAACTAGAATATAACTAGGATAGAACTAGGAAAGAACTAGGATAAAACTAGGTTAGAACTAGGATGTAACTAGGATAGAACTAGAATATAAGTAGGATAGAACTAGGATAGATAAAGTTTATTGCTAAAATACATGTATTTGTGTACAGAACGAGTTAACAATTGTTAACAATTACAAATTGATGATTATTTTAAACAGTACAAGTATAAAGAAATTAGGTTGAAAATAGCTCTGGGCTGTTTTGATTATTTTTTCCGCCTAATTTCAATAAAGATAACCAAAAATTTTAATTAAATAGATTTGAGGAGAACTATTAGAGATGAAGGTGCGATTTTATCATATGCAAAATAGTTTATACATTAACTAGAATAACTAGAGTTTTAAGTAATTTTCTGACATGTACACAACGAATATCAAAGCATATTAAAACATATCTAATTAGTTTTACATGAAAAGCAATTCGGTTTATAAACACATTGTAATGTAATTTTCAAATAGATAATTTGGTAGTCTATTTTTAAATATACTTAGAGAGTTGCTTCTTTTTAAGTCAAGAGGCAGGTTATTCCATATCTTAATATTGCAATGAGCTCTTAGGATATAACTAGGATAGAACAAGGATAGAACTAGTATATAACTAGGATAGAACTAGTATATAACTAGTTAGGTTGGTAGAAGAATATATGGTTTGAAGGGCGTGGCTAGTAGGGAGGGAGTAAATTGATACGGAGACGCAATACTTTACTCTAAAAGATTAGTTTTAGGTTAAAATAAAAATTCTCATAAAAAGAATATAAAGATTTAAATTTCTATCTTTGAAAGTTTTAAAAATAACAAAACACGCAATATTCTTATTTCAGTGGTATATTGTCTGTAAAATTAAAAAGATACATAACATACATACGTTATCGGAAATCGGAAAAAAGGGTTCAACTTGTAGTATTTCTGACGCCATGAATTTCTGTACTGTCATGAAATTATCATGGCATGGGGGGGACACCATGTACCCCACCCCCCTCCTTCAATATTAATGTCAGAGAAATTTATTATCTGGGGGCAAGGTATAAAACTATGACTTGAGTATGTTTTGTAATTTTACTATTTAGAACAAGCCAATTTCAAGGCAAAATTGGTTTTGAAAGGCTTGAAGGTGGTTTTAAAAGAGCCGGGTACGTGGTTTGTACGTCGGGGGGGGTAGGATATAACTAGGATAGAACAAGGATAGAACTAGTATATAACTAGGATAGAACTAGTATATAACTAGGATAGAACTAGTATATAACTAGATAGAACTAGGATAGAACTAGGATAGAACTAGGATAGAACTAGGATAGAACTAGGATATAACTAGGATAGAACTAGTATATAACTAGGATAGAACTAGTATATAACTAGGATAGAACTAGGATAGATAAAGTTTATTGCTATATAGAGGACGTGAGTCAGACTCTAATAAAAACGCATAAATAACTTCCAGTATATATATTTCTTATAACTTATTACTAGAGGGTTCAGAACTAGAGTAAATATCGATATCACACGTGAAGATGTTTATCAGTACTATGCCTCGTATCTCCTTCTGTTGAATCTTGTGGAACTTGTTTAACGCGGCCAGGCATCGTCTTTCACAAAATAATATATTTCCTAGTTTACCAATTTTCAGTTTATTCATAGTTTTCTAAAATATGGTATATTTAGGTCCCCGTATATTCGCTCGTTTAAGCAGTCTTCTGCATCTTCCAGAGGAGGTGGCGCTCATTCTTCAATCTAGGGAACAGTCCCTTTTCCCTAGTACAGGTATTCATCAGTTTAGAGAACAGTTACTTTTCTCCAGAACATGTTTTCCTTAATCTAGAAAACAGTCCCTTTTCCCAATAACAGGTATTACTCAAGTTCAGAGAACAACCTTTTATTTAAAAATGCAACTTTTTAAAGTTTATGGCTAAAAGCCTTAATCTTAAGGCGTTAGTGTTGCAGTTGAAACCGGGTATTTGGGGTTGACACTTATAATTGAGATTGAGCCTTAAGTTTGGAAATCTGTCAGCTGATTTAAGATTAACTGATCTCTCATTGGTCAAAGACTCTGAACTGTTTTAGACGCTTAAATCCAAGTACTGAGTATTCAAAAGTTGCCAGTTTTAATTTCAAATTACAAGCTTATAGAATCAGGATCTCCTTTTGATTCTCAATCTCTTAAATTTTATACTTTTTCGCAGAGAGTATATTGAGGAGTATCAGTGTAGAGCTCAGCAAAGGGAAAGAAGACGACAATACAGAAACCAATATGGCGGATATTCAGCTGTTTTCAAAACTGGTAATTTTTAATAGGTCTTCGCCAGAAACTCTAATTTTTAAATCTCTGTATCTTTGCAACCTGAGGATGTAAACCTAAAACATTTGATAAAATATTTGATAAAGAGATTAGAAAATTTGAGTGTGATTTACACTTAATTCGTGGAAATTATAAGATTACGAAAAATCATAGAAAGAACACAGAATTATTTACTCTCTGGATTTTGACCCAGATTTCTAGCAAAATCTAGCATCAACATTATAAATAAACAAGCATAAATATAATTCTAAATGTATTTTTAACATAAACTATGTTATCTTTTTTATTACAACTTGTTGAACATGGACCGGGAGGGGGAAACTTTTTACACTTGAAAGCAAAGTTTAAAGAAAAGTTTAAAATAATGTTTTTTTTTTAATTTTAATTTTATACAGAGAATGGTTGTATGATTGGTGAGTCTAGGGAAAACTTTTTGATTATCAAAAACCCGCATAACTAGGTTGATAATTTTTCAAAAAGAGAAAATTTACAATTTTTCAATTACTAACTCCAGAAACAATTTTTATCAGAAGGAATTTCTAGTATTTACAATTTTTCTTTGACAAAATTTTTAAACATTTATTCATTTCATTCCCCTTTATTTCACTCATGAAAATTCCCCTTTAACAGTCTTCTGGGAAGGCACCGGAAGTAAGTAAGGATGGGCAGCAACCCCTCCCCTGCAATTGCGTCTCTGCTTATTAGCTTTCATTATGTTGAATATCTTATTCTTTAAAATTAGCTGTTTACATCTTTTACTTTTCAATGAAATGAACTTTTTATTTAAGCAGAACCTATTGTTAAAAATAATAATAGATTTCCTATCACTAAAAGTAACCCGTTATAATTCTATTGGACCACACAATATTGGATTATTGCTCTTTAAGGGTTTACCAATACAAAAATTTCGACCTTAGTCGTATTTAAAGGGGCTGTAAGCGTATTTAAAGGGACTGTAAGCGTATTTAAAGGGACTTTAAGCGTATTTAAAGGGACTGTGAGTGTATTTAAATGGACTGTAAGCGTAATTTCAAGTGACTTTTGATGTAAAGATGGCAATGCCCGGTTTTCTACATTTTTTATTTAGAGTTTCATTTGTACATACCATTAGTCTGATCAAGGTGGAATCAGATATTCATGTTTTTCTTCTTCTTTCATTTGTGGGTTCTCTGCAAAAACGACTTGCGCATTTCTTGCTTGAAAGAAATAATTGAGAAATTTACAGTAATAAACACTTTTTGAGTCATAAAAACGACTATATCTTCCACATTTTTCAAGTTTCAAGGGAAACGTTGTAATTCGGGCATTGCCATCTTTGCTTACAGTCCCTTTAAAACTGAAAATTAACGATTTACTCTATTATTATCCTAGACGAGTGAGTGGGCTGATAGCTCAATATTGAGCCGAAACAGTAATTCAGAACAGAGTCGAAGTTTCTCCCTACTCTTGGCTGTTTGTGAAACCAGTATTCAGCTCAACAACTTCAATACAGCATACTCTATACTTACAGTACTAAAGTAGGTTCAGTCTTCTATTCTTAAACAATATTGCATGTATTACTTTTCAGTGTAAGGTACAAATTATTGTGTGTCCCAGAAAAATTTGAGATTAAATTTTAATTTAACCAAATAACTTTTATTCTAACTCTTGGATGTAAAATGAATACTAGAGGTGTTAAAAGAACTCTAAGCTGTACCAGGCAATGTAATAAAATAATACTCAAAGACAAAAGTAAAACCGCGAAACCATTTTTGAAAAAAAAATATTTTTTTTCCAACTCAACAATTTTCCATTTTTTCCAACAAATTCAGTTTAATATTATAAATTGTTTTCTTCAATGCTATGTTAAATATAATTTGTTTCATTTATTATATTTCATTGTTTAGACATTTGCATGGTTAGGTGCACGCAATAGCGCGCACATTTAGAATTTTCCCTAGTGTGCACTGTGCGTGAGTAAGGTGGAAGTATAAATTTTAATTATCCTGTAGCTATACACCATTCTCTTAGACCATTCTCTTAGACTATTCTCATAAACCATTCTCTAAGACCGTTCTCTTAGAACATTCTCTTAAACCATTCTCTTAGAACATTCTCTTAGACCATTCTCATAGACCATTCTCATAGACCATTCTCTTAGACTATTCTCTTAGACCATTCTCATAGACTATTCTCTTAGACCATTCCCTTAGACCATTCTCATAGACCATTCCCTTAGACCATTCCCTTAGACCATTCTCTTAGACCATTCTCATAGATGATTCTCTTAGACCATTCTCATAGACCATTCTCATACACCATTCTCATAGACCATTCTCATACACCATTCCCTTAGACCATTCTCTTAGACCATTCTCTTAGAACATTCTCTTTGACCATTCTCTTAGACCATTCACCACTCTCATAGACCATTCTCATAGACCATTCTCATAGACCATTCTCTCATACACCATTCACCATTCCCTTAGACCATTCTCTTAGACCATTCTCATAGACCATTCTCATAGACCATTCTCATAGACCATTCTCTCTTAGACTATTCTCTTAGACCATCCTCATAGACCATTCTCATAGACCATTCTCATAGACCATTCTCATAGACCATTCTCATAGACCATTCTCTTAGACCATTCCCTTAGACCATCCTCATAGACCATTCTCATAGACCATTCTCATAGACCATTCTCATAGACCATTCTCATAGACCATTCTCATAGACCATTCTCATACACCATTCTCTTAGACCATTCCCTTAGACCATTCTCTTAGACCATTCTCTTAGACCATTCTCGTAGACCATTCTCATAGACCATTCTCATAGACCATTCTAATAGACCATTCTCTTAGACCATTCTCGTAGACCATTCTCATAGACCATTCTCATAGACCATTCTAATAGACCATTCTTTTAGACCATTCTCATAGACCATTCTCATAGACCATTTTCATAGACCATTCTCTTAGACCATACTCATAGATAGACCATTCTCATAGACCATTCTCATAGACCATTCTCATAGACCATTCTCATAGACCATTCTCTTAGACCATTCTCATAGACCATTAATCGGCCTTTAATCCTCGTCGAAAAAGAAGAAGAAGAAGATGATGATTATGTATCAAGGGAGTGTTTTCCCCTGACCAAAGCAGTTATTTTTCTCTGTAGGCCGGAGGAAACTACTCCCCTTGGTATATGCACTCCCCGGAGGAAACTACTCCCCTTGGTATATGCACTCCCCGGAGGAAACTACTCCCCTTGGTATATTCACTCCCCCCTACTTCCCCTAGCACTCCCCCTTGGTTTAGTTCCTCCACTTTTTATATCGAGCCTCAAAAATCTGTGGAATAGGAAGACGACTCTTAGACTGAAGCAAAGATTTTGAATATACCACTAAACATGAAACACAACATGTTGTGCAGAGACCCAATTCACTATATGCTGATTTACAAGCTACTGCAATGATACAACTATATACTTGATTTATAACATTTTTTACATAAGGATAGAGGTTAACATTATTCAAAGTTACTAGTGCGACTTTGTGACTTCATAGCTCCTCATAGTATTAAATTTACGAAAAGCTAAAGAAAAATATATTCATTTGGTTTCATAAATATCAAAACTTACCCTTCTCAATAGCTAATCAGAGCTAGGAACTACATATTATTGAAAACATGTTAGATTTTAATCAAAAATCAATTAAATTAAGTTTTACAAAGGTTTAACCGTACATAACAACCAATATAGACTTAAACCACCAGATTGTTTGTTCTAAAACATATATTTTATAACTAAATAAATATTGAATACATATTAAAATATTCTTATTCATCTCAGAATTCGTTTTTTTAAGTTTGTCAATTTCAGGTCGCCTCCTTATTGTAAAAGATTAGGATGTATATAATAGTATTTTAAAACTTTTAAATATACGTATTTANCTCTTGGTTGTGGTTTACCCCCCACTCCGTGAAAAATGTTCTTGTCCCGCGCGAGGAACATATGTTTTGGATTCCAATATAATCTGTAGAAACAAAAATACAATGTTTTGTATTCACAAACTTAATTAATTAAGATTTGTAAGATATTTAACGTCTATTTTTCCAGGTTATTTAAAGAAAAATTTGAAATTTTTTGATTCCTTTTTTTACAAAACATATCTGATGTTGATTTTTACAACTGCAGAATCTTGGTAGATGAAAAAGTCAAAGGTTTACACCATCAGGTTACAAAGGTTTACACCATCAGGTTACAAAGGTTTACACCATCATAGTTGCAAAGGTTAACACCATCAGGTTGCAAAGGTTAACACCATCAGGTTGCAAAGGTTTACACCATCAGGTTGCAAAGGTTAACACCATCAGGTTGCAAAGGTTTACACCATCAGGTTGCAAAGGTTTACACCATCAGGTTGCAAAGGTTTACACCATCAGGTTACAAAGGTTTACACCATCAGGTTACAAAGGTTTACACCATCAGGTTGCAAAGGTTTACACCATCAGGTTACAAAGGTTTACACCATCAGGTTGCAAAGGTTTACACCATCAGGTTACAAAGGTTAACACCATCAGGTTGCAAAGGTTTACACCATCAGGTTGCAAAGGTTAACACTATCAGGTTGCTAAGATTAACACCATCAGGTTGCAAAGGTTTACATATTAGAAAATCAAACTGAAACGGAAGCTCTTAGTTCATTTTTTAATCATATATTTTTTTAATAATAGTGTAAAATTTTTAAAAAATATAAAATCTAATTCCAGTTAAATTTGAATATATTTCTAATCGATCTAATCCGCAAAATTTATTTGATTTTTAAGCTCATGTAGTTGGGACACTTGGTGAACAAACAATAGATATTTTCAGTCAGTCATAATCAATTTTCTAATAGAAAAAATTGTGCACACTTTTATAAAATCTTATATAATTAAAAAGACAGAAAGTACATTAGTAGCATAAAATTGGATCTATCTATCTATCTATCTATCTATCTATCTATATATCTATCTATCTATCTATCTATCTATTTATCTATCTATCTATCTATCTATCTATCTATCTATCTATCTATCTATCTTTCTATCTATCTATCTATCTATCTATTTATCTATCTATCTATCTATCTATTTATCTATCTATCTATCTGGTGGTTAAGGTAGCACACTGAGAGTAATTATATTTTGTTCTGTATAGCTCTCTATGCCTCCATCAAGATTTAACACATTTTAAGGGGCAGCATGCAGATTACAGGGTTCCATGGGTTTACATGCAGATTACAGGGTTCCATGGGTTTGCATATAGATTACAGGGTTCCATGGGTTTGCATACAGATTACAGGGTTCCATGGGTTTGCATGCAGATTACAGGGTTCCATGGGTTTACATGCAGATTACAGGGTTCCATGGGTTTGCATACAGATTACAGGGTTCCATGTGTTTGCATGCAGATTACAGGGTTCCAGGGTTCTGTATGCAGATTACAGGGTTCCATGGGTTTACATGCAGATTACAGGGTTCCATGGGTTTGCATACAGATTACAGGGTTCCAGGGTTCTGCATGCAGAACCCTGGAACCCTATAATCTGCATGCAGGTTCTAGGGTTCAGCGAACAGAGTTTCCCCCTGATGGTTATGAAAAGCAAAAATTTAAGATATGAAAAATAAAATAAAAGTCGAAGTTTCATTCTTTTTTAGTAATCACTTGATTTTACAATTTTTGTTCTAGATCCCCGCTGCTAAAAAACCACCAAGAAGTTCACAAGACACGTTTTCAACAGGCTCTCAATGTGTTTAAGACTGATTACTCCTCCCATCTGGCGGCAGCTTTGCAAACTAGTGGTTTCCCGCCAATTCCAGCAATTTTGCCTCTTCTGAATCAGCTGAAACAGCTGTTGAACAATAAAGCATGGATATTTGTAACCAAAGATCTTCAACTTCAGGTAAAGTTTAATATTGCAACATTAACAATACACAACATGGAAGTGATTTTAATCCATTCAAAAGTTCTCAGCTCTATTATACAAACAAGGTCATTAACTTAAATATTTGATTTTCTTGAATTGAGCCAATTGAAATTGGCAAGTTGGAGAGATTTTAGAACAAAATCTAATATTCATTATCATGCAAACAAGACCACCTCAAGCGCATGATTAAATCATATTTATTTTTTATGATAAGATATGATAGATTTCTATGTCGGCCTTTATCGGAAACTTTCCAACAAAGCATAATAGACAATTCACATTCTTACATATTTAAAGCGTGTAGCGTGTTAAGTTTTACGTTTTTAAAACTAAAAAAATGGAAAAAAATGAATTAAAGAAATAACAAAAAAGTCATACATCTGAAGATACTAGACCAGATTTGCGCACTTTTCCTTTAATTTTCTAAACGTCTGGAATTTCTTTAATTCTTGTAGAAAATAGTAGATACAGAATACAGATGTTATAAGCCTAAACATGTGGAAACTGAGAAATAACTCACAGATCATTTAAATCCGTTCAACAGTGTTTAGACAACAGTGAAATATTTGAAATCTTTTAATAATTCGAACTTTGGCTAGCAGTGGCAGAGTGCCGGGAGTTTAAAATAAGATCAGTGAATTCTCAATCATTTTGAATTTACCACACATATGAGAAATAAAGGAATTGAGTTTTTGCAACAAACTCTGATATTCCTATTCTTTGCAACCCCTTTTCCTAGACCTTTGATATTTCAAACTATTAATTTTGTTTGATCAAATAGTCAAAGTTTGAAATTTCAAAGATTTACATCATCAGGCAAAAACTGAATTCCTTTATCCAGATATATATTAAAAATTTAAAACAGTTTTATTCTTTCAATAATAGAAGTTATGATTAAAAATGAATGAGATTTCAATTTTACCTCCAATTTACTTTGTTTTCCGTGCAATTTTCAAATTCACATTATTTTGCAATCATGTGCAAGGATTGCAATGTCCGATTTACAACGATACCCTTAAAAGTTTTGTCATATCAAATATCAATTATATATCAATATTTTGGTTTCTTCACACTGTTTATATCATTTTTGTTTCATTTTGCGGCTTCTATGAGAAAGTGACTTGCGAAGTTCTTGCTTAAAAGAAACAATGAAGATATTCACAGAAATTAACACTTTTCGATTTATCTTCCATATTTTTAATCAGATTAAGCGTTTAAGGGTACCGTTGTAAAATTGGAAATTGCCATCTTTGAAAAGAGGAATTCACTTGAAAATATCGCTTACAGTCCCTTTAAGATTATCATCCACGATGATTGTACATGTATTAAAGTGTAACAAAGTGTAATTAATAAAAAGTATTTGTAATTTACGCGTGGAATTTGGCTTCCTTTTCTTCAGGGTTTCTAATTAAGTTCCTGTTGCGTCGTTGGTGGGGTTTTTATTAAATTTTTTTTTTTTAATTTGACGAGCATATTCATTTTTATTTGATTTGATAAAGATTCTGGTTTAATGCAATTCTTAGAAAACTGTCATTTAAGGATCTAATATCGCTGATCAAAGACACACGTAAAATGAACTATATCTATATATGCCCTGAATATATTTACAATATTATGATAGTTAAATTAAGATAGGGTATAAACTTGACCGTATAACATACATATTCAATCTTTTTTGACTAAAACCCTCAGAAGAAGAAAATCTTGAATCTTCACTTTATAAGAAAATGTTGTGAGAAAATCTGAGTTACTTTGAACTGAGTGTAAGAGAACATTTTTCATACATTCTCAATTAAAAAGTATAGAAATTAAAAAGTATAGAAATTAAAAAGTATAGAAATTAAAAAGTATAGATATTAAAAAGTATAGAAATTAAAAAGTATAGAAATTAAAAAGTATAGAAATTAAAAAGTATAGAAATTAAAAAGTATAGATCACAGCTTCGTCACATTAGATTTGAAAGATTGTCTGTACATGTACATTGAACATTGTAATTTGTACAATTAGCAAGTAAAATTCTTCGCCGGTACAACTACTGACACAATTAGCCTTCTATTACTGATGTTCTAGTGTGTCCAAAATCTACGTCATTGTAATTCAAAGATCCTGGTTTAGGAAAGTCAGTGAGGCTTCACTTTCAACCCTTATTTTTCTCGTAAAGTTTTAGATAAAAATTGCTTTTTCTTTTTCAGCCCAAGGACATTCTTAGATGTTTATATAATATTGCGTGGCTTTATCTGAATTAAATTGTTTTAACTTTGATAAAGAGCAAAATAAAAGTTGTTGTGCCATCTTAATTTCTTCTTAAATTCATTGATCTCGATAGAAAAAACCGACATTTTGTCTAACCTAACTTTCTGACTGAGCGGTTAGATTATCTTATTTTTAGGAGCTAACTGAGTACACTGGATTACGAAGGATCCAGGACGGATTAAGGACTCCGGACGTAAGGCTAGGACAGATCCAGGACGGATTAACTTCTCCAGGAGAAGAGCCAGGACGGATCCAGGACAGAGAAGAGGAAATAAACCGGGAGAAGCATCTGAATGTTGAGGATGGATTAAAAATGTCTGAATATACTAATTGCATTCAGCAACCCTTGGCAAGACTCTTCTCCGCTGTTTCCTCCATACAAAGACGGTAAAAATTCAAAATTTCATTTCAATTTTTTTGATTTAAAACAATATAGCAAAAATAAGAACAATACACAAGGCTTACAAATGTAGAACGAGGTATGACTAATGAGAAAGTCTACGTAATTTCAAGTAAACTTTTATTCATTTAGTTTCCGATTCAATACTGCACCCTGTAAACCTTGCTTTGCCTGATGTGTACATTTTGTTTTGCTATCTCAATTTTTTTACTAAAAAAGTGAATTTTGCAGCACGGACAAGGAAGAAAAATCGCAGAATTTATCTAAAACGACGATATCTTCCTTAATGTTACCCTGCCAAAGGATAAAAGGGTACAATACTCTTGCAATGGAAGATTACTTGAAATTATGTCTGCAGTAAAAAGGGCTGAAAAAAATTAAGACTGGGAACAATTTTAAGAGATGGTGGGGTGGGGATGTTGGTTTGGGAGGGGGTAAAGGAGAGGAAGGTAATGGATAATTTCAACCTGATGATTAGAAACGGAACTCCTAATGTACAGTTTCTTGTTACTGTAAACATTACATAAAGTATACACTAGTGCAGAGTTCATGTTTTTACTCATTCAACCTTCTCATTAAAGGGACTGTAAGCGTAATTTTCAAATAAGGACAGTGCCCGATAATATAATATACAAAAATGCCTTGCGCGTTTCTACTGCAGGCAAACATACAGAAATGGTTAGAATCAAACCTACAAAACCGACAATATTTTCAATATTATTTATCAGATAAGGTGTTTGAATCAGGCATTGCATGGAGGGTCACTTGAAATTACGCTTACAGTCCCTTTAATGTTGATTTAGCTAGTACTCATTATATTTCCATTCCCATATACCAACAATCTTCATCATTCAATACATAGATACATACATACACAACATACACAATAATGATAAAATCCTGCATCAACTAAAGAGATAAATGTTCATCATTCAATTCATAGATACATACACAATTATGATAATCCTGCATCAACTAAAGAGATAAATGTTCATCATTCAATTCATAGATACATACACAATTATGATAATCCTGCATCAACTAAAGAGATAAATGTTCATCATTCAATACATAGATACAATACAATTATGATAATCCTGCATCAACTAAACAGATAAATCGAACCGTAATGAAAGCTGAAGTACCTTAAAAAGTATATTTTTGTGACACCGTTTTTCTCTCGAAAAATCCCAGAGAAAAACATACATACACACAATTTGTATTTTTTGAAATAAAAAATACATACATTTAGTATGATTAATGCACACAAATGTTTAAAAATTGATATATTTAGTAATATATATATCTATTTTATGTATATATATAATATATATATAAATATTATAGAGATGTATTGAGATGTATATAAACCATTGTTTTAAAACGGTTCAATAATCTTCTCTCTCTATAGGACCAACTTTAACTTTAGATTGTATGAGTCTTACTTTCTAATTGCTTTATTTTGCAGACGGATGTAAAAAGATGAACCGGATGTAAAAAGATGAAGGCTAATGATCAGCCCATTTAATTTTAATCATTATATTTATTCGCAATTTCTTTGATCCATTATTTTCATCAATTAATCATATAAATGGTATTAATCAATGGGAAATTGCACATTTTGGAAGTGTTGCCATTTGGGAAATTGTCACGTTTGAAGTTGGCCTTGGGAAAAGGCCTTTGGGAAAGTGCCTAATGCCTATTGATATAGAATATTGCATTACTTTTTTCTATAATTATACAGTATACTGTACATCAATTATATATCTATATCGAACTGTTAAACATAGACTATTTGATCTCACAGGATTTAGATTTAGATTTAGATTTGACATCAGGTTCTAAAGATATAGGGATTAGAAAATCAGAGTTTGTGACAAAAAACTTAATTTATTCCTTTACTGTCTTCTGAGCATAAGATTTAAGAGAATTTAATGAGTCAATTTTACGGCTGCATGCCTATGCATTTAGTGACCGCAAATGTTCTGTATAGTTTAAAAAGGTTCCAGATCGAACTATAATGAGAGCTGTAGTACCTTATAAAAAGCGTCGTTTTGAGAAACTTTTTTTCGAAAAATCTCAGTTTACAAAGAGTAGTAAAGATACACAATTTTTATTTTTGAACAAACAAAATACATAAATTCAGTATAATTAATGCACAAGAATGTTTAAACATAGAAATATGTAGGTAGGTATATATCTATTATTTATATATAATATAGTATAATCTATTCATTATTCCATCAAAAAACAGAATTATAACCTCAGACAATCTTCAGTGAGGTTTGTAAAAAAATTTCGCGGATTTTAAAAATAAAATTCGCGGATTTTCAAGAATTAAAATTTTTTACAAAATTAAAAACCTTTAAAACACATTTTTTATCATTCATAAACCTTCCCCGTGGTCACGTGATGTCCCACAAAAAATTTGGGCCCGATCGGTTCAGCCGTTTTGACGTTTTTTTTGGATACAAACAAACAGACAGACGCCCAAACAGACAGACAAGCCAAAGGAATTGAGTCTTTGGAACAAAATCAAATATTTAAACCTCAATATCTTAAGAACTCGATGTCGTAAACCTTTGATATTTCAAACTCAGATTATTGGATCTAACAGAGTTCAAAGTTTGAAATATCTAAGGTCTGCAACATTTGGTTCTAAAGATATAGTGATTAGAAAATCAGCGTTTGTGGCAAAGACTCAATTCCTTTATATATAGAAGAGCTTGAACAAATTGTAGCGATATACTTGCAAATTAAAAAGTCTCTTATAGACATTTTAAAAAAAAAATTATGAACAAATACGACATTACTTTACAATTTTCTCCTTCTTATTGTAGATAGCTGTATATCACATGTGTGGGATTGGAGAAACATCATTTATCAGTATTAAACTATGTCAGCTAAAGCTAAAACGATCTGTGGGTCTGAAAGTTTTACACGATACAAAAATGTATACAATAATTGATTTTTTTGATCTATTGAAACGTGTAACTTAATTTATGACATTTATTTTATAATAACGAAAAAAATGCTTGGTTTAATAAAAGCGCCGTGCCAATGTACGTTTACAATTACAACATATGGAGTAATACAAAGTTGAAGATTTATTAATAGTATAAATCGCTTATTTGAACAAAAACAAATAGAATAAAATCTTTTTGCAGAAATTCATTTGATTAATTGGCAGAGCGTTGTATAATTTTCAATTATTGCGAGGTTTTTATTTTATAACGCTTATTATACATAATTTATCATGCGTTTTCTGACACATTTGTGTCTATTCATATTACGCATTTCAACAAAGATTCATTAGGATTTAGAAAAAAATAAGAATTTAATTAAAGGTTCCGATTTCAAAGTTTCAGAGATAAGAGGCCAGAATTTTAGGAACTGAGAATAAATCAAATGTAGATCTCTAGATCAAAAATAATAATACGATTTTAAGATTAAGATTCAGATTAAGATTAAGAATAAGATTAAAATTATGAATAAGATTAAAATTAAGATTAAGATTAAGGTTAAGATTAAGATTAAGATTAAGAATAAGATTAAAATTATGAATAAGATTAAGATTAAGATTAAGATTAAGATTAAGATTAAGATTAAGATTAATAAAGAACTAAATACGTTTGTCAAATGGTCAAATTGAGTTCCAGAATTTTTATAAAGTGAGACAACAAAACTCTGAAATAAAATAAAGTTATAACTTTATGAGCATGAGACACAGCATTTGTGCAGTGTAAACAAACCCATATCAATCATCTTGTGATTTAATGATTGTCTATAGTAAAAATATTTCCATTGTAACAGCATCAAATACACTTAAGAATTGCTATTATGTAATTGCTTTTTCTAAGTTAAAAACATGAAGCTAAGTTTTGCACACAGAATTTAGAGCTTGTATTGTAAACATGATCTTATCAAAGCCGGTAGAATTTAAAAATATTTATTTTTGCAAAGCAAAAATTGTTTTCATTTATTTTCAAAAGAAAACATTTATGTCGAATAAAGGAAATATTAAACATTCTTTCCACAGGGCGTAGAAAGTATTTATGTCGATTTTAACTATGAATTTAGATCAAAAATTTTTTTTTGTATGTGTTAGACATAGAATATATTTTGATTTCGATATTAATATTCATAGACCTTAAGATCAAAATTCTAAGCATAAAGGCTGTTTAAAAATAATTACAGGATTAATAAGTGAGGTCTGTTTAAAAACATTTAAGATTATTTTGTAATCAAGAGGCTTCACAATTTAATAAAAGCAATTTTATTTTACTTTCGGTTCAGATTCGTTACTCAGATTCGTTTACACGCCTTTAAATCCAAAAAACCTTGGACGTTGAAAGGGACTGTAAAGTAGAAATGAAAGGGGATATGGGCTGAAACCTAAACATTTTAGGAGTTGATCAAGACCTAGACAAAATTTTATAAATATAGATTTTCGAATAAATTTGACACAGTTTTATATCAATATCTAGAGACGGGAACATCAGATAGAACTCTTATGGGTCTCGATTAACTCCTATAATGCCTATACCGCCTTTCATTGTTCCTTTACAGCCCCTTTATAAACCATGCCCATCCATACATAATTTAGGTATGCCACGCAGGAACAACAGTGATAAACGTTGATACAGCAACTCACCAAACACAATTAGGAATCCAGTTTTTTTATTTAAAGGATTTGTCATTGAAATTGCTAAGTATGAGGCCATTTATTTTGAAAAATAACCCTAATAAACAACGGTGCACTTTGAAATTTTCTCTGATTAATAATGTGAATGATATTGTCATTTTAATAGTTTGCTAGGTGTTTAATTCTAACAAACTTCTCTGTTTTCTTGAAGTTGAAATCCGCAAGACTCTTTATAAAGTAACCATAATTGTAAAATAATCAATAATCAGACAGAAAATAGTAGATAATTCTTGATCAAATCATAGTTACCGTTGTTTTTAGATTTATTTGTTGTTTTTAGATTGAATTGGTGTCAACATATGTTATGTAGTGAATAACGTTTTTTTTTTGTTAATTATTGCTTTAGAGAAATAATACATATTTAACAATTAACACGATTTAAATACTGCTCGATTTAGTTGTACTTAAATTAGAGGAGTGCAATGGAATTCTTACTTGGAGTCCTTTTCCAGGGAATAGGGAGACCATATCTCCAGGTAAAAATATACTTGGAGTCCTTTTCCATAAATTAGGGAGTCAATTTAACCAGGAGTTCCTTTCTTCCAATTAATTCTTATGTTTGTATTTAGACAAGCTTGGAGTTCTTTTTCCTAGGAGTCAACTTTTCCAAATACAAAAATCTATTTTTACGCTATTTGGGAGTCTATGTCTTCAAGATTTGTTAAATGAACTAACTGCAGTGGAATAAGTGGAAATGAGTTTATTTTAAAAACAATGGTTTCGATTCATGATTTTTGTTTAAGGACTAAAGCTGAGATATACCTCGCAGTCCGGACTAAATATTGCTTACCTGGACGAAGGATTCCTGGACCTTAGCACAGTTCGTCTTGTCGAGACAGACGACCTGGACCTAGCAGCTTACCCAGACCAGGCCAGGTACAGTACAGGAACCAAGCGATACGTAGTACCATGCTGGAGCAGGGGGTGCAGGTACCAGGGAAACAGTACAGTACAGGGACCAGGCGGTACAGTACCATTTAGGGACCAGGCGGATCAGTAGTGTAAAGGGACCAGGCAGTACAGTACCATGCAGGGACCAGGGGGTGCAAGCCTATTTAGGGACCAGGTGGTTCTAAACAGTTGAGTGACCATACGGTACAGTACCGTACAGGGACCAGGCAGTACAGTACCATGCAGGGACCAGGGGGTGCAAGCCTATTCAGAGACCAGGTGGTACTGAACATTTGAGTGACCAGGCGGTACAGTACCGTACAGGGACCAAGCAGTACAGTACCATGCAGGGACCAAGGGTACAAGCAAGTTTAGAGACAAGATAGTATGGTACAGTAGAGGGACCAGGCGGTACAGTACCTTACAGGTACCAGGTAATACATCTTATGCAAATAATGATTTTTTTTTCAGAGAGCATATTTTAACCTGTTTTGGAACAAGTTTTACCCCTGTCACTCTTATTTATGGATCTACCCTCACTACAACAAGGTAACAGGTCTCCGACATTGGGTTGCAAAGATAATGGATTAGAAAATCTGAATTTGTGGCAAACAAATCAATTCCTTTCGCTGACTTACAATGTCATGTTTTTTCTTCAGAATGTTAACCTTATAATTATTTATCCAGATGCTGTTTAGAAATTTCATAAATAACATGAAATATTTCTTTTAAAGAAACCAAAATGTTAAAATTATATATAGTTAATTACTTAAATTTCCTTGTTTAAAGATTATTCGTAAAAGTGTCTTTAATCGATTCAATTATATCTGAAACCAATCCCTGTCGTCGCTATCACGAATTCTAAATATAAAATATTGATTATTTAAACTACGTCAGGACAGCTACATTCCTGTGCCCGGCCCAGGTGGGAGCTGTTTGGGTTAAAGTGTTTCAGCAGCTTCTTCAACAGCTGCAATTAGGATGCTTAAAACTTAGGTAAGCTGATTTTGTCCCACAAAATATTGGACCGTGCTCAGGTCTAAGTTGGAATTTTCAGAAATAGAAAATTCAAAATTCAAATTTTTTAAAGATTATATTATTTAATAGTTTTCTTTGTGTATATGGGCGTTACAGCTTGGAGATAATCCAATACAATAAAGGACACAGGGATACAAAGGGTGCAAACTATCAAGCAAAAATAAAAAAAGCTCAAAAAAGCTTCATTATAAATATTAAATATACATGTCTCACTGTCTCACTGTCTCCAGACTGATATGAAAAGTTGCATTACTTTCAAGACAAGGTCGACTTTGAAGTGTCGCAACGCCTTGGCATTTATCTTTCTAACTCTTTAATACTTTTTTGCAACCCTAACCATTTAAGAACCATAAGCATCGATTTTTGCTTTAGAGCTTGTAATCTGTAGATCAATGTTGACTATGTATAAAAATAAACATTAATGAGTTATTGCCTTAAAACCAAAGGCCAAGGCGTTTCAACATTTTTAAGTAAGCCCAGTCTAGAATATTGCTGCAACTGTTTAAAGCAGCCTAGATCTTTTTTTGGGACACAGTAGTATCTATTATATGTTGTTTGTTTGTTTGCTTGTATCCTATAAACTCTCATGACACCAGGACTGGTTTATGTATGGTTAAAGAAGAAAAACTGTTCCCGTAAAAAAATGTCCACATTTCTTGTTTTTAAAAATGAGCAACTATCGTTCACAGCTAAAATATATACTAGAAAACGTTCTACTTATATAAACGTTTCATCATTCACAGAATTTTCTTATTTTGACAGAACTAACAGAAATATCCAGAAAAATTTTGGTATTATAATCGTTTTTCATAAAAAGATTTTACCATGGATTTTAAAATGTTCGAAATGGTTAACAATCAAAATTCACAGATCTTTTTTCTAAATTCTAGTATGAAAGATTTGATAAAGACGACTATTAATCCGGGTTATACTGGTTATGACTCTATCATATCATAAAATGTAGATATGAATTATTATTCCTCCCCCTCAAACCAAGTGAAATCCTATGTAAAGAGTCCCTTGGTTTGTAATTGTATCGTAACCCTACATTATGTACTATTAATGTCACTTTAAATCTTTACACACATCTCGCTTGGATTCAATCTTTAGGCCCCACCCAAACATACAATGACATCTCCCTTCCCCTGTTCTCAATTTTTTTCAAGGGCTTTTAATTACAATGCATTCTTTCCCCGCTGATCGGTTTTCTAATAATTCATTGGTCCCTGATTGGGCAATATTCAGAATTTCACCAATGAAATTCTTATCCTTTCAAAGTTTGCCCATAGGTCTTATTGCCGTCGACCCATCGCTTACTAATTTTAGTTTTTTTCTTCCATATTATCCATGTCTTTCAGAATATTTTTAGACTTGTATTTCATAATTTTATTGTTTTTTTATGTTTTCAGAAAACAGCGTAAAACGATCGACATTTTCATTATAATGGCTTATGAGAAAAAGATTTTTAAGTTTGGGCATGTTATGGTTAAAAAGGGGTAGGTGCCCCCCCCCCCTTTGGTCCACCGGTTACTAATGCTTGTATTTAAAAATATATCCCTGTAATTTTCTTGTCGTCATTAACTTGTTTTACCCCCCCCCCCACAACCTTGCTGGGATAATTTAACAAATTAGTAGATAATTGATTATATTTTTGTTAAATATATTCTATCGAAATTATTCCAAGATTTTGATTAGGCTAAATTGTACAAAATTAGTGTATTTATTTTATAAAAGAACTTTAACATTTTAATGCCATTTAATAGTAGCAGCCAAATTCTAGTAATTATATAAGAAAATGGACTAAACTGAATTAAATTGACTCTAAATATCCACGGGAAACCTACTAGAGTTCAGCATGTCCGAATTAATTAAGTCCAATTTAAAAATGCCATTTAAAAATCAGTAAATAAATCAATCTTTAAAGATTTAGATTTAAAATTGACATGTCTAAAATAAGAGAAATATTTCGAGAAGAAAAAAATATTTGATTTATTTGGAAAATCAATAATAATACAGGGTGTCTTACGAAACATGAAAGTAAAAAAGAGACTGTAAGGTCGTCTTTGAGGTCGTCTTTGAGCTTAGAAATCATTCAATCGTTCGCCTACTATTCAATATTAGTATTATTATAACATTTACCAGAAACTTCTCCTAGTCCTGGGATTTCCAAAATGTAGTCTGCCTTTTTGTACTGCCGGAAAGTACAAAAGTGGCAGACCACATTTTGGAAATGCCAGGACTTTAAGTAAGTTGTGACTATTAAATCTAGAATTGTACTTTGATTATTAAATTTAGTACTGAATATGAAATATTGTGGACAAAGGAATTGAGATTTTGCCACAAACTCTGAT